CACAGCTTTTATAGTGACACAGGAACAGGTGAGAGGCAGGATTGCAGAAAGAGTAAAGAAGGCTTTATTCAAGAGAACTGCATGGTTTTTATGATGACACAGGAACAGGCAAGAAGGCAGGATTGTGTTTTCTCTGGGACTCAGGGAATCATCAATTCCTGCTCTGCTCTGAATCCTAGCACAGAAGATCCACATCAGTTCTGCTACGTACGAAGCCCTTCTCACAGATGATGCCTATGAAATTGAGCTGAGAGGAGAAATTGAAGTCAAGGTAACAGATTTTCTGTAACTTTACAACAATAAAGGCATTTAATGGGATAGGGAGGAGATTATAGGTCTGGCCATTGCTCTTCTGTGAACAGCACATCAATTTTTAACTGTGTCCCCAAGGTTCTTTAGCTAATTCCATTGGAAGTGGCTGCACAAATACTCCTCAAAGTTGAAGAAAAAGTGTTCTGTGTGCTTTGAAATATGCCTGCTGTGTCTGCACCCGCATGGAACCACAGGAGTGTGGCCCAAAGTGTGAGGATTCAGTCAAAGACACAGTCAAACCCTTTAACAAAGTGTTAAAGCTTATTTTAAACCCTTAGCAACACTGCCAGTGACCAGCAAGGCAGTGACCTCTGAACAGAAGAGATTATTAGCATTCAAACTGCACATAAATTATAATATAATTTATAATTTATATTTTATAATTTAAATATATTATCTTTTATATATTATATAAATTATATATATTATAAATATATTTTATATATTATAAATATATAAATTATAAATATGTATATTATAAATATATTTTCTTTTATAATTTAATTTATAAATAATATAGCAAATATAATAGATTATAATAATTTTATAAATAAATAATATATAAATATATATTATTTCTATATAATATATGCATAATATAAATAATATTATAATATATATAATAGGTTATAAATTATAATTTATAATTTTAAAATAAATAAAAATATGAAATACATTAAAATAAAAATATATTAAAATACATAAAATATATGAAAATTATAATTCTTTCCCTAATCAGCAGCCATTTATGAGAGGAGAGATAACAAATGCAGGACAGGGAGTAGCTCTGGCTATAAAGATTCCTGCTGTGCTTCACTCTGCATGAAAACAGCTTTTTCTCCCTCCTTTTCTCGTCCAGGGCAAAGGGAAAATGAAAACCTACTGGCTCCTTGGGAACAAGAACTACAGTGTTCAAAATGACAGCCTGGTGTGCCACTGGAACCCAGCAATCCCCAGGAAAAAACAGATGGGAAGCAGCCAGGGATCTGTCCAACAAGTAAGGAGGAGAACATCTGGCTGGGGGAGATTCCTGGAGAACAAAGCACTCACTGCAGGCTGGGGATGTGGAAATTGGATATTTGCCTGGAAGGAGGGGGCTCTGCTGTGTGTAAAACAGCTGTAATGGGTGAGAAACAGTTGTAATGTGTGTAAAACAGCTCCTAATGTGTGTAAAACTGCTCCAATATGTGTAAACCAATTCTGCTGTGTGTAAAACTGCTCCAATGTGTGTAAAACAGCTCCTAATGTGTGTAAAACTGCTCCAATATGTGTAAACCAATTCTGCTGTGTGTAAAACTGCTCCAATGTGTGTAAAACAGCTCTAATATGTGTAAAACAGCTGTAATGTGTGTAAAAGTGCTTTAATGTGTGTAAAACAGCTCTAATGTGTGTAAAAGAGCTGTAATGTGTGTAAAAGAGCTGCAATGTGTGTAAAATAACTCTGCTGTGTGTAAACCAACTTTGCTGTTTTTAAAACAGCTCCAATGTGTGCAAAACAGCTCTGCTTTGTGTAAAACTGCTCTAATGTGTGCAAAACAGCTGTAATGTGTGTGAAACTGCTCTAATGTGTGTAAAACAGCTGTAAGGTGTGTAAAACTGCTCTAATGTGTGTAAAACTGCTCTAATGTGTGTAAAACAGCTGCAATGTGTGTAAAGCTGCTCTAATGTGTGTAAAACAGCTGTAATGTGTATAAACCAGCTCTAATATGTTTTTCTCTCTGCCAGCAGGCTGCTGTGGGAGCAGCTGGAGCTGCACAGAGCCCTGCCCTGTCCCGGGCTGAGCTGAGCCCCAACATCCACAGCACCCAGAGCAGCTCCAGAGCAGAGGGGAGCCCTGGGAGTGCCACCCTTGGGATGAGCCAAAGGCAGAGGAATGGCTTCCATCAGAGCTCCCAGCTCAGCCCCAAGGAAAACCAGATTTCTCTGGGCTCTCCTGCTCTGGGGAAAGCTGACAAAGCTGACAATTTAGGGCACAGGTCCCATGGCACTGAAACACCATGGATAAACGAGCTTCTTCCAGGTTTTGTAGATGAGATGTGACAGTGGGAGAAGTGACTGGGCTGTCCCAGGCACACACAGCTCCTTTAAATACCACTCTCCTCTTGCTCCTAGCCACAATTGGTAGTTTTAGATAGTGGGAACATAAAACACCAGTGGAAATTTAGGAAGGTGTCTCCAAACAAGGAGAAGCTGCTGAAGTGCCGGTGGGGTTCCACCAGGTGCATGACTGGGAGGTAAAATATGTACTTTTGATTATTATTTCAAAGGTACCAAGTTTCTGTAGCACTTTGTTGTTGCAGGCATCTTTTATGAGAAATCCTTTCCTTAGGATTTTTCCTTCTGAGAAGCTGAGAGGCCTCAGGAACAAAATGTAAACAACGATTACCTGCTGCTGTGGAATGTAACAGGTGCATCTGTGATTGGTCTCATGTGGTTGTTTCTAATTAATGGCCAATCACAGTCAGTTGGCTTGGACACAGTGTCCAAGCCACAAACCTTTGTTATCATTCTTTCCTATTCTATCCTTAGCCAGCCTTCTGATGAAATCCTTTCTTCTATTCTTTTAGTATAGCTTTAATATAATATATATAATAAAATAATAAATCAAGCCTTCTGAAACATGGAGTCAGATCCTTTTCTTTCCTCATCCTCAGACCCCTGTGGACACCATCACACTTTGTCTTCCCAGTTTCTCTCCCCTGCAGTGGAATCTCCTCTCCATACATGTATTTTTTCCATTATCAGTCTCCTGGTGAGGCAAAGATCAGTCCAGCTCTGTGGAAGATGTGAGAGAGAGAAGCTCCTTCTCCCATTAAACTGAAATTTGCCATTTCCTTGTTGGAGGAAGAGCCTCTAGTGAAGAGCAGTAAATTCCCCTTCTGTTTATGACTCAGAGAAATCAAAGCAAACTGAATTACTTCCCCATTTAGTAACTCTGTGCAGAGTTCAGTTCATTTGCAAGAGAGCTGCACATCTAATTAACCCCATCCTGCCTGCTGCCTTCTTTTAGCAATTCCAGGAAGAGGGAAAAGCAGTACAAATGTGGGGATAGGGTTTGGTCTGTCTGTTCTCCCAGCTGACAGGTTCAGGTAGAGCAAAAGAGATTTAGCAGATTAAAATTCTTTCTAAAGGAGGCACGGCAGTGCTTAATGGTTGCAAAAGGCAACACAAATTCAGGTGTGAATTTCAGAGGAAGTCAATCTTGAAAAGCTGCAATTTGTCTTGCTTTTAATTATTTCTTGGTCTTTGTTTTTAATTTTTTTTTCCTAAAATAAAGTAGCTTTATGAGTTTCAAAGGAAGTTGGCTGGAGTACAGCTCATGTAAGTTACTCCTTGCAGAGTCAAAGCCAAGAGCTGTTCCTTTAAGTCAGGCCAGGAGTGGGTGTGTGGCTCCAAGCCTGGCCTGAAGTGAGATCTCTGAAGGTTGCCTGAAGAACTGTTTGCTTTTGTACAAAAGTAAATAAAATTGGGGGCTGAAGTCCTCATGATAATGTAACATGCATATTTCTACATGAGAAAGGAAACACAGAACTAACTCCAGCATTGGGGTTTAGTGTTGTTCTAAAAATATGTTTGCCAGGTCAAGCAAAAAATATTTCAGGAAAATCCAATGCTTCAATTAATGCAGGACTTTGCCTCAATGGCCACAAGGATCACTCCAGGCTTACAGCTTAATAAAACAACCTAATAAAATATTTCACTAATCCCAAGCACAGCTTTCCCTCCCACCTCCCAAATCTCAGAACCTGTCTACATGGGGTATTTACATCCATGCAAATACAATTTAATTTCTGTTAGAAGGTATCTGCAGGCACGTGGTTCAGATTTTTCCATTCAGGTAGCTTGGAAGTTGCTCCAATACTTTCACACCAAAGAAAACAATGGTACATCCCATTACAGCATGCTGCATCCTGGAAATCCACTTCCAAAACAAACAAAAACCAAACAAAACTCCCCAAAATCCCTCTTTATAAAATCAATCTCTTGAATGCAGGGACATGGGGGTGTTGTATTGCATTAAATTCTTACAATGGGGGTGTGGTGTGTTTTTAAGATGCCTGATGATGATATTACTGGAGATGTATGGAACCTGCACAGGTGTGCTCACATAGATTTAGACACACAATCCCATGTCCTCAAACATATCTAAATCTGGGTTGGTGTCCAGCATTGACTGAAAGGCTGGAATATTTTCATCTGGTTCCTGTCAGCACTCAGGAAATGGGATCAAATGTGGGAAAAAAATCCCAAAAAATCCCAAGATAATGAGAGACAGAATTAAATGTGTTTGAAGATGATTTCCAGCTCAGTGAAGGAAAATGTCTCAGGTGCAGAGATCCCTTCAGAGGCAGGCATGAAAGGAGCCCCATGGGAGAGGGACAGCTGGGCACTGGGGCTCAGACACACAGCAGCCCCAAGCTGCCTCCAATTGTTATGAAAATCCTGGGCCAAGATCAGAAGCAAATTATTTGCATGGAAAATTGAGCCTGTTCTGATCTTCACCTCTTCAGAGGCTTCAGTGTGGATTTTTAAATTAGAAAAAATGTGCGTGCTTGATAGACAGCAATTAGTGCTTATTAACAAAACATGTTTTGGTTCAGCTCTGAGCATCCCTTTGCCTTTCTCAGGCAAGAAGGAAGTGATGGAAGTGATGTGCTCCTTGCTGATGCTTTGATGTGGTGGCTTGCTCCCAAAGATTTTTGTATTATTTATGTCTAACATATAGCAAGGCTCGGACTGATGAAGGTTAAGGCTGTACCAGGTTGTGTGGCTTAACTCTGAGACTGACTTGAAACATATTCTGGGCTGAAAAACTTGCTCTGAGGGATAACTCAGAGTCTCCAATTTATTCTGGGGGATTTCAGCCTAGCCAAAGGCACAGATATATCCCTTCAACGAGAGGAATCCTGCAGGAATGAAGTCTGACAAACAGAGTCTGACAAACACAGACAGCTTCTCAAAAGCTGCATTTCCATAAAGACCAGACGGGATATTTTAGCCATACAGCTGAGACACTGGGGAAGGAAGTGCCCGGCTCCGCTGGCCAGATGTGGGAACGCCACAGCTGGATCCGCCCGGGGCAGCAAACTGCGCTCCCCTGAGCGGCCGCCAGGTGGCGCTGCGGGCCCGAACACGGCGGAGAAAGGGAAAGGGAAAGGGAAAAAGAAATAAAGGAAAAAGGAAAAAGGAAAAAGGAAAAAGGAAAAAGGAAAAAGGAAAAAGGAAAAAAGAAAAAGGAAAAAGGAAAGGGAGAGGGAAAGAGAAAAAGGGGAAATTGAAAAGGGGAAAGGGAAATAAGGGAAAGGGAAATAAGGGAAATTGAATAGGGGAAAGGGAAATAAGGGAAAGGAAGAGGGAGAGGGAAAAAGAAAGGGAAGTTAGGGACAGGGAAATAAGGGAAATAGGGGAGAGAGGAAAGGAAAAAAAGGGGAAGGGAAATAAGGGGAAGGGGAGGGGAAAGGGAAGAAAGGGAAGAAAAAGAAGAAAGGGAAAGGGAATGGGAAATAAGGGAGAGGGAAAGGGAGAGAGAAAGGGAGAGGGTGAGGAAAAGGAAAGAAAAGGAAAAGGAAAAGGAAAAGGAAAAGGAAAAGGAAAAGGAAAAGGAAAAGGAAAAGGGAAAAGGAAAAGGAAAAGGAAAAGGAAAAGGAAAAGGAAAAGGAAAAGGAAAAGGAAAAGGAAAAGGAAAAGGAAAAGGAATGGGCCCCAGAAGAGATGGCACTGCAGGCACACACAGCCACAGCCAGGGAAAGGCAAAGGGGACACCACTGAGCCATCACAGCATTTTCCTCTCAAGATGAAGGACAGACAAGCTGAAAGGCCCAAACAAGTCTTTGTTGACAAGACAAATGGGAATGGGCACTTGAAACCAGAGAGCAGGGGAAAGAAAGAGGAAAATTGAAAATATTAAATAGAAAACAGCACATACATGTTCTGGAGTATTTGTCAGCTTCTAGCTGATCCTTATTCCCAAACCCATTAGTAAGCTACCCAACCTGCAAACTCTGCTCCTTCTCAGGGTATTAAGAAGCTGGCTGATGAAAATGTGTCAAAATGAGAGGAGGATGGGAATCCAGAAACAAAACCAGCTCATTGAAATCAATCAGTTTGACAAAATTCTTGCCA